CATCATTTTGTATATACGGGTCGTCGTTGTTATCGGCAAAGACCGTAAGACTCGCCAAAGCACTCAAACTATTGGTTCCCAACTCTCCCTCACTGTCGTCATCATAATTATCCAGATCATACTTCTCTACAATATTGTCGTCGTTCTCATTGTTTTCCTCCCCTTCTTCGGACGACACACTCATCTGATCGTCATTTCTGTCAAACAAAACAAACAATATGTGAATCTATGACATAATGGCAGCACTTCTTGTGCGTTCACCAACTGTTCATCTGATGGCAGGTGTTGTTTGTGTTCATCGATGATGCGTTTGAGGTCTTCTTTGGTGAGCTCTACTTTGTTGGGCACCTCTTTGGTGACCCCTCTTTTGATCCAATAAACACACGAAATGAAATTAATTTTACTCATAATTAGCCATCAATTGTCTTTGAAAGACAAACACGTGTTTCATTGAATTCAATGCAATTCTTAACGTCAATAAAAAACATGTGTTTCGCCGACAATGCACTCAATTCAGGGATTTTTCGACACATTTCTGGGGATTTATAGCTAAAAACTGGTGAATCAAATGTTTGACATAAAGTATGCACACAAAGAATTTGTTGCGTATTTGTGTTGCAATTGTATGGGAAATGTGAACAAAACGATTGCTCTGATTATACGTATATTGCAGTGAATATACATTTTGACCAAACATTGAATGAGTGAAGCATTGAATGAATGAGTGATTGAAATGAGTTTGAAATGCAAACAATTAGTACTGAAAATGAGTTGATTTGACATAAACTGCGAGTCATTTGACACTGAAATGTGACCACAATGTGAGCCATCAGTGATCTGGTCCGTGGAGTGATCATCAAATTGAAGACACAATGGTTTGGTTTGGTTGGGACGCCAAACGATACACAAGAATCGGATCAAACCATAGATTGAAATCAGTGTTCAATTGGATTCCCATTCATATACTGATTAACACATTGTTTTGCATTGTCTTCATCGGTGTCATCGGAT